TCCAAGCACAGACAGCTGAGAACTCTTCATGACAGCACTCTCAGAAGTGGAGGGATAGAATGTGATAAAGATAAACTTTGCACATCTCAGAAAAAAGGTAACAGTTCTGCAATGATGAGTAGGGAGGGAATCTGAGTCAGCCCATCTCCTTCCAGTGTCAGAGAGGATGAAATGACACTTCTTTTCCCCCTGTGACGGTGCTGCCTGTGGGAGCCAGCTGAGGTCACTCAATTAGGGTAAACTGCAAACAAAACAGGGCAGACAAACCCCAGAAGCTGGTGGTTATTCCATACTTAGGTTTACCAACCAGCCCAAAACAGCTTCTGTAGTACCTCACTGGTTACTTAGAAGTCCAAACAACACAATTCCCTTAAAGTACCCAGCCTCAGGCCTCTATTCAAACACACCTGTCAAATATGATGATGATTACTGAAAATCTTATCTCATCATTTAAAAGAAAAGGTTCTTCCGATCCCAAAGGATCAGCCACTTACCCAGGTCCAATTATAACTTAGATCTTACCCAAAATACACGCTTAGAGCCAATTCTTATTAACTAAGCTAAAATTTATTAAAAAAGAAAAGAGAGAGAGTGTGTTGGTTAAAAGATCAATATACATACAGACTTGAATTCAATTCTTGAGGTTCAGATACATAGCAGAGATGAGCTTGTAGTTGCCAAAAGTCCTTTTAGAAATAGTCCACAGGTTATAGTCCAATGTCCATATTCAGGGTAGCTCCAGTCATTGACTGGGGATCTCAATCCTTATGGCTTAAGGTTTCCCCCTCTTGAAACCCAAAGCAGATCTGAGATGAAGAAAGATCGTGTCCAAGGATTCTTATACATTTTCAGCAGCTTTTTGGCCTGAGAAAACAATAGGCTTAACTCCTTCTTCCAAACATCCTGGCAATTAGCACAGGGTAATTTATCCACTAAACAGTTCAGATACAGGTTACCACAACCTTCAAAGAGACACATAGACAATAATACTATTTCACTCAAGTATCTTCCTAAATGTTAATATTCCTTTTTTGATCTTCGAATCAAAGCTATAGCGATAGACAAGACTTATTTACTTACATCACAAGACCTGAGCAAACATCTACCCTTCTATCTCTAACAATGCAGACTTGCATTTCAAAGCTCTATTCATTTACATATTTTCCTAACAAGTCTCTAAAGTTCGTCCATGGGTTAGGTCAGCCTGTGAGTTAATTAACTCTTTCTGGCCCTGTCATCTTTCAATGAGATATTATATTACACTCATAACATCATACCCCCAATGCAAAATTGATGCAGGAAGGGATGACACAAACATTACTGACTGTTATCCCAAAAGCTTCCCCTCCTGTGTTCTGTCTCATTACAGTTTGTATTGGGTTATAAGCCATATCAATGTGTAACAGAAATGGTTTACCGAACTCATGCTCAATAACATGATTGAATCTTTTTACAAACTCAAGGTAAAACTTGGTTAGAACAATAGTGGATTGGATCTGCTCTTGCAGCAGGATTCCTGTATTTCTCACGTGATCTTGCCAAGAGCTAAAGAACATAGCTACTTTATCCATACAAGCTCTGGCAAATGTTTGGAACCCAATTAACATCAAGTTAATGTAGATAGTAATGTTGTCCATAGTATAGAAATCTTGGCATTTATTCATGAAAGCAATATGGTAGTGTGCCTTAGTTTCCCTTTTTTACACAGCACATGAGGTTTGGAATGTCCTTTCTCCTGTGAAAAGTTTTAATACTGTTTACAGGCATTACCAGTGCAACATTAGCATTACAAGGCCTTTTAATATAGCTTGTGTTCTCATGTATTTCTCTTAACATGTTCAAGGGATTTTCCAAAAGATTAGGCACATTGTCGCTATTACCAAAAACTATAAAAATGTACAGTTACAAAAATCACCATCAGCATTAACAACAAATTCATTGCAAGTGTCCATCTACAATCATTTTTGTCATGCCAGACCTTTGGCTCAACACCATTGTGGTTTGGGCCTTTTAGGGTTAACCTGTGGCTTCCCTTTGCAAAATTAAGTTCTCTCTTTCTTCCTTGTCCTGAAGGCTCAAACTCTGATTTCTCTTGCTTAACAGAATTCACTGGCTGATGGGGTGGGCTCTTTGTGCCAACAGCTATTAGCAAGTCTTTCTTCCCCCAGTCAGTCAGGTAATTTGCATCAACACAAACACTAGCTTTTAAATTTTCAGCTGCTACCAATTCCAAGGCTGGACTCTGTCTTACAAAGGTACCACACAAATCCAAAGAGTGTGAGTGAGAGTTTGCTTGCTCTCCCCTGCATCCTCAAGCATTCAGCCATAAACTATTCTGCTCTGACACACCAGTAACCAAATCTGTCCTCAGACCCTGATGCACAGACTGCTCACTCACAGAATCAGCATGGAGACATTCCTGTTCCAACACCATTGTCTTCCCAACAAGCTGGCCAAACCCAGCCACTTGGTCATAGGGCTGCTCAACTTTCTTAACAGCTCTTACTCCATCTGAGACCTTTCCAAAGCTATCCACACTGGATCTTTCAAAAGGAAAGTCAGTGGATTCATTTAGAACAGAACATTTCTGGCTGTTAGGAACTGAAACTTCCTTGATTAAATCACTTTCACACCCTTTAGCTGTATCAAGCTGCTTGCACAGATTACCATGAGGATTTCTATCCCTAGTAGCTTTTCTAAGCAACAGTTCACCCCCACAGAAATTCTGCTCTTACCCTCTTCACCTAGGGCTTGCTCTACAGGAACACTTTTCTGAGCAACAACAGACTCTTTCTGCAAAAAGAATAGGAGTACTTGTGGCACCTTAGAGACTAACAAATTTATTTGAGCACAAGCTTTCGTGGACTACAATCCACTTCTTCGGATGCATAGAATGGAACATATATTGAGGAGATATATATATATACACATATAGAGAGCATGAAAAGGTGGGAGTTGTCTTACCAACTCTGAGAGGCCAATAAAGTAAGAGAAAAAACTTTTGAAGTGATTATCAAGATAGCCCAGTACAATCTTGATAATCACTTCAAAAGTTTTTTCTCTTACTTTATTGGCCTCTCAGAGT